GGGCTGCCCCGCTGCCCGAGCCCCTCCGCGGCTTTGCTCCAAGTCTTCCTGGTCTGCAGACCAGGGAGACGCGGAGAAAGCCCCGGAATACACGGGCGTCAGGACCGCGAGGTCCCGCAGTCCGTGTCCTCCGGGGCGAGCCCCGTTCGTAACTGTGGATCCGACGTAAGTCAGGGACTGCCTGTAGTCAACTACCCAGTAAACCTAGGCTTATCAGGTAGTTGAGTCAAGTACTCTCATTCTTCCCCTCCCTTTTGCCATTCTCCCTTCCCCCTGTTGCCTCTAATATAAATCAGGAGCCGGTGCTGGGGGGGTGATAGCTTAAAAGCTTGTTCCCCCCAGGACTGTCTCCGTGGTGCTGCTTTGCCCCCGCTATCAGAGGCAGCAGTGTGGAGGGGTCAAAGGAGGTTGCTTTAGTAGCATCCCTATCCATGGTGGGTCTCAGTTTCCCACAAGCCTTGCTCGTGCTGTGTCCAGGAGCTACCCCCGCTGCAGCTCTGAAGGTAAATGTAGCTGTGCTGCCTGCATGCCTGACTCTTACTACATTTAAATTGCAGAGCTGCAGTGGAGGTAATTCCTTCTAAGCCGCTTCCCTTATTCACTAATTGTGTGGTTGATACAATTTGTATCGACTACATGATTACCCAGTTACTCACCTCTTAACATCTTTGGTCTGAATAGGAATGAACACAAAGGAACAATATTCCTGCACTAGTACATTAATGGGTGTTGAGGGCAAATTAGTTTTTGAGTTCAACCTAAACTCTCTCTGAAAGAAATAGCTACAGGTTCTATAAGGTTTGGAGGCAGCCAAATACAAATTTTAAATCTCGGCTTTCAATTCTATTGTGGTTTAAACCCAGCTCAGTATGTTAACCTGTTGACCTGCACCTTGCATATCTATGCACAGTGCATGTGAAGCCCTACTGTTTCAGAATAGCAGTATATTGTATTCATTTTTCACTCACTTTCCACTGGAATATACAGCTATGTAAGGTGCAAAGCAGTGGGGAACTGACCCAAGTATTTTTGTAGCATGTGTTTTTTATAGAGTAAGGGTCTAAAATTCTTGGGCCATGGTCATTCTCACCTGAAGCAATTCCACAATTTGGCCTGAGAGTCTTGGCGAGGGAGGGGATGGGGGGAAGGAAGGCTGTCTGTTACCATCCCTAAGTCCTTTCCTGCCATTGCGCTACCCTCTCCCCCATGGCATCATGTCCCCTAAGGATGTGGCTTTAGGGATCACTGGGGTGGGAGCCAGGCACTACGTGTCAACAGTTGTCAAGCCCCCTGCACTTTCTGTGGCAAAACCTATCGTTTTGTCCACCATTTTATATTAAGCCTACAGGGTCAAAGAGGACTGGACACCTGGGCTATCTGCATCTGTGACTTGGACTTTCTTCTCTTTACCCATCAGCTCTTACAATAAACAAGCTGGTATTTGTGCTTAGCGATGCTTTGCTTGGGTTAAAGTTATTAAAATGTGGTTTGCCTATGTGTTATGACTTAGTTTTTCAACTAAAAAGATATGAATTTGCTTTTATAAGGTTTATAAGCTTTAACATGTGCATGAAACTAAGATGATTAGTGATAGGCATAACTAACTTCTTTGTTTTGGGGAATGAAAATTGGTTTCAAGGATTATAGAACATAGATTCTTTGTTGGAGATAAAGAAAGACATTCTTTTTTTCCATATGGATTTTTGCTCTATATCACTCTCCTTTCCTCCACAGAAGTAATTATGAATGTAAGAAGATTAATCCCATAAAGAGCTGTTAATATATAGATGTGAAACCAATTATTGATTTACAGACTTTTCATTGACAAGTAATGGAAATGTTATACAGTAAACTTCCAATAATCTGGCACCTTTAGGATCGGGGGTGTGTGTGTGCTGGATTATCAGATATGCCGGAGTACTGGAAGGGGGGCTATGAAGGGTCTGGTGGGGAGTGGAGTCGGCGGGGAACTGTGCAGCGTGGGAGAGGGCGGCGCTGCCCACCCCGCCAGCCCCCCAGCTCCTCTGCCCCCGGCTTCCCCAAGTCAGCCACTGGTCAGTTTCAGCAGCAGCGGACTTGGGGAAGCCAGGGACAGAGCAGCTCCCAATTGTCTGGCTGGCTGGAGCACTTCCGGGTTCCAGTTGGTGCCGGACTATCAGGAGAGCGGACCACTGGATGCCAGACAATTGGAGTTTGTAGTGTTTGTATGTAGTGTTTGCAAGTTGTCTGCAATACTTGTTTGTTTATGAAGTACTCTTTTATGTTAATCTCAATTCAAAAGTAAGTCAACTGTAAGTTCTGAGTCAGGGACAACCTTGTATGTACAATGTTTCCATACATTTGCAGACTCTACAGCAATTATAAATAATTGATGTTCCTCACCAAAACTAGTCTTCCAGGGGTGCTGCCTTGGGAGCCAAAGATGATACGTGTTCTCAGTCCTTAACTGAAGATTGAGGGTATATAGAATCTTTGATTTCTTTTCTCCAGAATGTTAGTCATTGAGGATACATAGATGTAATAAAAGCCAAAAGCAGAGTTGTAAACAACTGCATTAAAAATCTCTTCCTGTTTCCTCCATTACCTGAAGAAGGCTCAGCATGCACTCTTCTGGCTTATGATTTTATTGCAGTAGTTGTCATCTGGACTCCCCTTATATGGAAAATTGACTACTGATTTAACTTTTTTTTTTAAACAAAAAAATTCATGTAAACTTTGTATATCATAAAGAACCAAAACAAGAAAAGTCCAATTTTTGTTTCTCTCTGCAGATTGTTATATAGTTTATTAAGGTGCTTATTGCTCTTCATGTAGAGGACATGTTTTACATGAACTTCACTCATGTTTTGTATAACCAGTCTGCAGAAACTCATTATTTATTATTTTTATCTTGCCATATAACATGCATACTAGCTCAGCAGCTCTTGGTGAAAGGTTTTTAGCTCTTAGTCAGCAGCAAGTTTCCCGTGTGTAACAGCCATGGAGGAATAAGGTATATTATGTTGAATACTGAAAATTCAGACACAAGACTAGCGTCCTCTTGGCAGTCTACTGTACAATAATGATGTTTTTAAAATTTTCATTTTATTAATTAGTGCTGGGAAGCAGTGTCTAATAGTTTGACGTGGGATTGTGGATCAAACTGCCATACCACTGATTCTCTTTGGCCTGGACAGTCATTTAGTGTATCTACCTTCATTTATGTAATGAGGAATAATGTCTACATATTTTATATTGCGCTTATAGGAATTGAATATAAATATATCTTGTAACTAGGTATGTTGCTATATGTAACAAAGCATTTTCTAAATGCTTAAAAGTAAGATGAAACTCTTCCAAAGGATGTGAAATCTTTCATGAGTTTAGCATTGCTAATGATGATATATCTGACGTATGGTATCCTGTGATCATCCATTTGATGTGTCCTTATTGCCTGGTTAAACTTACTGGTGGTAAACTGGAGGAGTTTCTTTTGGAGTGTGCATCAGGAGCACCATCTATTTTTGGTACACAGGGTCCCTCAGTACACTTGTGAGGCAGGGAACTTTTCCCCATCTTACAGATGGCAAACGAAGGCACAAAGAGTATATGACTTGTCTAAAGTATCTCGGATTTCCTGATTTGAAACACAGTCTAAGTTTTTGCCCAACTACTCAACTATAGCATTGACTTCCAGTCAAAACATGACTGCTCTTAACATAACATAGAACTGATTAGAAATCTAGAAAATATGGTCTGTTGAAATGTAAATCTTTTAATTTACATTTTATAGTGTAAACTGTTTTTATGTACTTTGTATAATTTTGTGCATATCTAATGTTTTGGGGTTCTCTTTTCAGGTCTACTGAAACTATTCTCAAAGTCAAGGGCCAAAGATCATTAGGAAGAAGGGATCTTTAAATGTACGTCTGCTTTCACGTTATGGCTCAGCTATCCAGTAGCAATGGACTTAAACAGCGCTCATCTCCTTCTTTGGGAACTGCAAGGACAAAAGATGTGGACAAAGAAGAGGCATTGCAGATGGAAGCTGAGGCATTAGCTAAGATGCAAAAGGAATGAGTGGTAATTGGTAATAAGCAAACTTCTGAATCTTCAAGCAGCACCAGACAAAAAGCACAAACTCATAATAAACTGGACCATGATCTCATGGCATTTCCAGAGTCTGTTGCCAAAAAAAGGGTGGAAGATAAACTAAGCACGGTTGATGTTGAATTAGAAAAATTGCTGCTAGATGAAAGTTTTGAATCTAGTGACTTACCTGCATTACCAGCAACTCCTGTTCTGAGCCCATCATTTTCTTCACCGTTTTATATTAGGCCTACTGGTCAAAGAGGACTGTGGACACCTGGGCTACCTGGGCCTGTGACTTGCACTTTACCCCCTCCTTATCCATCAGCTTCTTATAGTAAACAAGCTGGCGTATTTCAGAATGGCTTCCACCTAAGCATGTCCACCTATCAATCTACAGAACCTGTTTATCTTAGTCTTCCAGGGCGGTCCCAGTACATTTCATACCCATTGGTGACTACTATTCCTTTCCATCCACGAGGAAGCCTGCCCATGTATCCTCCAACACTGACCCCAGAAATGGCAAAAGTATTTGACAAAATAGCCAGCACCTCAGAATTCTTGAAAAATGGGAAATCCAGCACTGACTTAGAGATGAGTGGTTTTAAGTCTGTAGTACCTAACCTGTCAACCTCAGAAAACTCCAGTGATATCAGTAAATTTGATTGGCTGGACTTGGATCCTCTAAGTAAACCAAAAGTGGATAATGTGGAGTTCTTGTGTAATGCAGAAGATGATGCAAAGGTGACATTGAGTACAGTTGCAGAAGATCCATGGGAGGCTGTTCTTCTAGAAGAAAAATTGCTAGTAACATGTCATTGTGAAAGAACAGTGAATGGGAAATCCACTTCTGGGGCAACTGTTACAAGAAGCCACTCTTTAAACATTCGAGCAACTCAGCTTGCAAAATTACAGGGCCAAACACCACAGGTATAATCTATAATTCTTGAAATGGCATTGCTAAACTTTCTAATACTGATTATAATATCTTGCAAGAGATTTAAATATAAATTTGCACCTATGTTGTTCTTATCGGCAGGGATAAATCTTCAAATGAAACAGTAGTCACTGGATTGTTGTATATAATTTTGATGAATTTTGGAATAGTCAGGATCACTCTAAAGAGCAGTACTAACTCAGTCTAGTCAATTTTAAGTGCTATCTCCTGAGAAATATTCCTGGTTCATTGAAAAAACTGTGAAAAGCATTTGTTAACTTTGTGATCCCATCAGTAAAAGAAAGCGTGATTCTGGGTGTTTAAAGAAAAAGTTAGTTTATCTGTGGTGACTTGTAGTCCTTGGATTTTTTAATATTCCATACATTTATGAAGATTAATTTAATATGAGGGGCATCTGGTATATAAATGTTAATTTTTATTAACTCTATATATTAACAATACACATTAGGGATGTAAGTGAGTTGTAAGCAACTACTTGAGTAATCGACTATTCACATTTCCTCCCTCCCCCTGTTGCTACCTCTGTATCAGAGGCAGCGGGGGGAAGAAGCAAGAGCTGGTGCTGCCTCTCTCCCCATGCTGCTGCCTCTGATACTTTAAATGCAGAGCTGCAGCAGGGGAAGGTTCCAGACCCAGTGCAATCTGGGGCTGAGCCAGGCTGCTGGCCAGCTTGCTAAAAAAATGACTGTCCGAGTTAAGGGGGGAATGCATGTAATCTATAGCATTAACCGATAAGCTTTTGCTAATCAGTTAATTGACTACACTGTTACATCCCTATTAGGAAGGCACATGACTTCAATACAAAGAAATTGAAAAGCTGTTCATCTTTCAGAAAGGGCAGGATGCAGATACACAGAATAATGAATTGTGTAGAGAACATGTATAGGAAGCTTTTGTTATCCTTGCCCTATCTTATAACATCCGAAAGGTGGTAAATTCATA